ACCTTTCAAACAGTATCTTTATGTGTTGTAATTTTTAAGAATATTTTTGGTACGAGTTAATCGCTTTCAATACGAACAAATTGAATTAATGCACTCGGCCCAAGAGGGCACATGATGTTTATACAGTTTTTCATAACATTTTCGGTTATTTGGAGCCCATCAAAGTGTAAATTTGTTCTTTCATTGTTATAAAGTATTGACTTATTACATGTATTTGATAATGCCAGTGATAAATATTGGTGTAGATCTGCTGTTAATGTCAAACGAGTACTTCAAACATGTGAACTTTTTTGCGCCATATTTCATCTTTCATAATGTTGAGATAATTATTGTCCATCAATTTAGGGCTGTTAGCTTATGATTCTTTGCTCTTTTTTGTAGCTTTTACTATATATTTGAATGTGTATAGATGCCTATACTGTGCATGACACACTGGAATAAAGCATTGTCAACACAAGTGCCTAGGGTTTTATATAGGTTCTTTAAACATCCAAATAATATACAATATGCAAAAATTATAATGAATTAAATATATCTTTTTAATGTGAATTATTTTAATACATAGATTTATTTATGTTTTACATATTACTTTATTTTAGAAACAGTCATCTTAGGAACAGTGTCTCTCATAGCTGTTTACAAGTGAAAAAGTTTTTCAAGAATTTTCTTTAAAAAAAAATCATGGAAGATTTTGATATCAAAGTCTTTAGTAGTGTTCAATAAGTAATGAAATAAAGGAATAAGAAAATAACATTCCCTCTAGCCGATAAGGCTTGATGAGCTTGACATAACCTACAGTGCTGCTATCCTATAAGTTGACAATTCTATCCTATCTTATCGTGAATCCTGCATCCACAATCATATCCTGTGGTTCAGTCTAATCCTATTCTATTCTATCCTGCAACTCTCAGTTTTTTTTAATATTTAGAAATTAATTTGACAAATCGAAAAAAAAAAACGGAATGACCACCAAAAAAGCAGATATAATTATGGTATTCATTTATTAAATGGGTAAAAATAATCGAGATCGACATTCCATAATTCCTGACACACCGCACATTTTAAATTAAGGATTATCAACAATTACCATGTTAAAAATAAATGTAAACAAACAGATTGTAATAACGCGGGCAAGTACTGATTTTGCGAACCTCTGTAAAGAATTTGGGCATCTAGAAGAAGGCATTTATTAACGAAAAAAATATAACTAGACTCTGTTTCAATTTTCCTACTTACAATGATCGGGAGACATGGCCACAGGATCGCGACGTGCTCCCAGCGTGTTATAATTAATTATTTAAAAAAAAAAACATAGGTATATAAGGTAATAATGTTTTAGTATATTTTTTATGTAAAATTTTATTCTTCCTAAACCGAACAGCATAAAAATAATATGCATGTACATGTGAAGTCTAACTGTGCCTGTATAACATGTTTCTCTGTACGCGGTTATAAGAAAAGATTATATGATTAGACAATTATAAACCAAACAGACACGCCAAAATTTAGATCTAGAATATCTTGACTTTCACATATTTATCATTTTAAATGTTAGATTGTCTTATTATATCAACTATTAAATCTAAATGAATATTTTTTTTAATTTAAATTCATATTAATTTATTCTTATGTGAATATTTCACAAACATGCAAAATATATAGTTGCTGAATAAGATTCAAGATATCTAGAATGTCAAATTTCTAAATTAACTTCATTTTCTTCTCAGTTTATGGTCAGTTCAGTGCCAAACAAAATGTACTTTTCAATTTCCAATTTTGTTTTAATAATTTATGTTTAATTTAAAATATTTTCCAAAATCTGCATTGTCACACTTAGACAGATTGAAAGCAATAAATATTGTAGTGAGCTCACACATGTTCCTTAGATCATAAAACATGCATAAAAAATTAAGAATTCACAGTATTTACAGTATTTATAACTCATTCTTGAGAAAGCCAAATTTGTATTTTGTCTTGGAATTTTATCTTTAATGTTCATTAGTGTCTAATTGAGAGACATTTATATGATCCACAAATGTTCCTTAGATCTTATAAAACATGCAAAAGAATTCACAGTATTTACATCAATTATCACACTTTCTTGGGTAAACCTTGTATTTAACCTTGACATTTGATCTTAATTTTTTAGTGTTTAAATGAGGAAAAAATATTTGATCAAGTTCACAATATTTTTATTCAGGGTGATTCCTCAACAATGATTAACAATTGAATATTCAATTACCATGAGACAAATTCATTAAAAGTATCCATGTACAGGATGGATTTCAATGCCAAGATCACAGATAAATTTACACGCACTTTGTTTAAATTTAAGCTTATCAATGTCTTTATTACAGTTGTATAATGTTTTACATGCATATGATTTGGCTTCCTTATCCATCGCTCAAACTGAATTTCAAATGTCAGAGTTATTGTCAGAGAGATGGTCATAAACCGAACAATTCCATAAATGTCAACAATGCACAGAATAAAGCACTGATCTCCTTAATACAAGCACCATGATTTCAGACTTAGGACTCTTTGAAACTGGTTTGAACATCTTTCATTATTTAGTCTAACAGCATATGAGATGAACTGCAATCTGTACAGCTGAAATGAGCAGGATTTTCCTGGAAAAAAATACAGGCATGTAGATTGTAACTGTTGTGTCATTACACATTTTAACTGTTTTTGATTGTGATTATCTTTCACATTTCATGTACAATTGGCTTTATTTTCACCTTTTTTTCTCTCCCAAAACTAGTGCATAAAGAAATCATGAAGAATAAAATCTTATACTGCAACCTAGGGCATATATTATTTTTTTTTAATCTTTTTTAACATAATTTACTAACTAGTACATTATCATTCATTTTATCTTCTTGACTTGCTAACAAGTATATGAATACATTAGTTTGTGAGATTTTCTCTATTTTCTGCTTGTTATTATCTTTTAACTAATGTATTTTTCTTTGTTTTCTTTTTTGTCTTGAAATTTGAATATGAAAAAGAAAATACATAGTTTATATGACAACAAAATGACTAGAATAATTCAACATTGCTTTTAGTTTAATTTCCTCTCCCGATTTTTTAAAGAAGAAAATCACTTGTTCCGAGAATCTGCTGACACGTTATCTCAACTCAGATAATAATGTATATGCATTCTGATGATCATGCATAATTCACGATAAAAAATCAAATCATACATACTTTTTAGATTAAAATCCCTTATACTGTGATGACGCATGAGTGCAGGCAAATCCATTCTCTGTAATAATGAATATTAAAAGATTAACTTGTGTTTCATAACTCACAATACATCATTACAAACGTACATACAATATAAGTGCAGTGCTGACTGCTGAATGAGCTTATTAAACATTTAAACAGTAGCATTAGAAATGGTCATAATGATTCTTCATTCATTTATCATAAATTGCACTGAAATGAAAGAAACTATTTTCTAACCTTACTAGGGAAATAATAATAGTAACAAACTGATTAAGGCATAATACATATGATTGTTTTAGTCTAAGAGCTCATTGATAGCTGATTGAATCATGTGACGGAATATTTGTTAATATTTATTCCCCTTCAATCTAGCTACTTCTATCTACACTACTTCTCTCTATTTTTCCGCATCCTATTTTTGTTTACATAAATTAGAATAAAATGTTTATAATTTAAGTCATTAGAATATTGTCTAAAGGGCGAAATAAGTGTAAAAATGCACAAATGTACGTGTACAGTTTGTAGTGTACTTACATGTTCTCGCACATCATCTATTCAAGTCCGCTGTCGACGGTTCCTGTGGAATTATCCAATCAAACAGAGCAAATTTAACAGGAAAACATGTTATTACACTTTTACACAAGTAAGAATCGGTTAAATCATCCGAACAAACTGAAGAAATACGGTCTTTCGATGTCTGGACTCTTCGTTGTTTACATTCTCAAATTCTTTCGGTGGTTCGTTCGCGGTACGCCGTATTACTCGAAGTTTATAATGTAAATCTGTTTTTAGTAAAGAGAATGTTTTATTTTCTATTTAAATTTTATAAATAGTTCTTTTGTAAACATTTTATACTGTATTTCGTTTTTGTAAATTATTCTGAAATATGAATGAACCTTTCCTCGAATCTGATTGGCTGTAGTATACAGGATAGGATAGGATAGGATAGGATTGGATTAATTTCTATATGTTCCTATCCAACCTCCTATGCAGAGTTGTCGTTCGTTTCTCTCTCAGACACCTCTGCAATGGGCTCAAGTCAAGATTTTTGACATAACGTATAAGAAGTAATATTAATTTTGCAGGATTATTTCAAATTAAATTAATAGTTCTAGATTGATTTAGTAAATATCTATATGAAAAGTCAGACATAAACATATAAATTGAATTATAATAAATTAAAGCAAACGCACTATTTCTCGTGTTTATCACTGTGATATACGCGAGCCAACGACAGAGGTGAATGTATGAGCCGATGGTAGAGAGTGGTTCCTATCGTGAATCCTCAATCCTGAATCCTATCCAATCCCATCCCATGTCAACTTGTGGGATAGCAGCACTGTATATCGACTTTCATGACAATATTATTTCATTAAGTGAAACCAAAATGCATTATTTAACAAACTGGTTTTGGATCTTCACGGGTAGATCTCTTAGAATTTGTGAAATACACTGGGATTTATTTGTTTAATATGTTTGAGAATTCTCGTACCGATCTTTCTTGCAACTTTAGGATCTACAAATATAAAAAAAAAATCAATGAGTATGTAAGCCATCCTTAAAAGAAGTCAAATTTAAGCACTATTCATTATGAAGGAAATAGTCAAAAACAGTGGAATACATTAACGATTACGTTTTTAAACATACTGTAATCTGCAAAAAATGCTCAAAACAATATAAAAACAAATATCTGTGCAAGGTTGTTGAATTGTGCTTTTTCATGATATATAATGTCCAACTCTTTACTTATTTGCCATGTAATATCGATTATACAATCAATTAGTAAAAATAATCACACAACAGCATTCTAGATTTCTAGCTTTTATTGTCTAATTTTAACATTTATTTCTAATTAAAGAAAATGGAAATATTTACCTTGATGGACCAAATCTCTGTGAATAATCTGCATTTTCCCTGAAAAACGTTTTTCATAGAATTTATGTGTTTGATGATCAGTCATTGTTTTTTTAGTCAATTTTATTAATGATGATCTGACATATATATTTATCAAGCACGCATAGAATCTATCCATAAAATACTTTCGATATGTACTAAGTAAGTACAACAAAATGATAACCAGGGAAGAAAACGCTTACTTACTCGATAGATCATCCACTGTTGTATGAAGTTCTCTGATATCTCCAAGTAAATCTATGTATTTTTTCTCTTGTTCTGGATCCATGGAGCAGGTTTTTATTGTGTTGACTGCATCCTGATAAACCGTGGTGGTTCCTAGGTGTCGCTCTAGCTCCACTACAATGTCCCGGATATTCCGCCATTCTTGTCTAAATTCTGACTCGGTTAGGGACAGATCAGCTGAATGTCCGTAATACTGGTTTCTAATGAGGCGAATTCTTTCAATGTTTGATGCCACGCATCTATCTCCGGGATCAGGAATCTCTCCCCAACCTTTGGAATGTGGTGCTATTTTACTCACATTGCGAAGAAGTAAATACAATAAAGATATGTCCAAGTCTGAATAATCACCACTGTACTGCTTCGTTGGTTTAGGGAATATGATCTCTGATTGTGTTTTGTTGAGGGGGATTCTCTGTCCATGTGGAAGGTTATCTTTAAATTCTTTAACCTTTCTGGACAAATCAGATGGTAACACTTCTGTCTTTAGAATGTCACGTAACACATCAGTACATGGACCCAGTATAAGTCTCGCCAGTCGAGCAGTGTTTGTTGTTTCTGGCGTAGAGGTATAGCACTTGGATAAAGACATAATGTGACTGGCTTCACTTCGTTTGATAAATGAAGTTGTAGGGCTCTATCTTCCCCGTCAAAACGATTACAACCTGTAAAACAAAAGCATTTCTAAAGTAAGTTGTAATGACAGGAAACAAATCACATCCGTAATCCTAATATTACTAACCATCAAGTCGCCTTTTACGACAGGTAAGGGCGTACTGAGGATTTATTCTAATCCGGATTCCCACGGGATTATAAAACTTTTGTGAAATCAAAAATTTAAGCTGGTGCTTTAAATAATAAAAAAATATTGAAACTATATACGTGTATATACGAGGGGCATTTCAAAAGTTCTGGCAAAATAAAAAAAAAATAACCGTTTTACGGAAATCATTGAGTTTGACATCATTGGAAAGATCAGAAAAATAAACACGTCACTTTTTAATTTTTATAACGTAAGAACTCCAAAATGACGTCAGAATATAGAATGTTTAGCATACTGAAAAGTCGCGTTTTTATCTACACGAGATGGTCGTAAAATTTCTGTCAAAGGCTTATTTGAAAAAAAAAAATATTTCAAAGAAAATTTTAATTTGCAAAGAGGAAGAGTAGGACTATGATATTGTTTATCAGTAATTCCATTATTCATTGTATGGTTTGTTTATGAAGTTCAACATGGTTTATGTCCGGTTACGCTATCATAGACATTCATTTCAAGTTTTTATTTACATGATACGGCTGGATTTGCAGTCTTTTATAATGGTCTCCATTTTTGAAATAAAACATGTTCTATATGAAACTGAAGTATATTAATGTAATTTGTATAAAATGTATTTTGAGTAACAGGGCTCTTACTGTTTACGAATAAAATGTTCTAAATCTTGACCCCGAATTGATTCTGTGCGTAGTTTTTCATATAAATTCAACTTTGGCGCCCCCAAACTCACCACTGCTTATGACTTTTGAATCCAAAAAATGAATATAATTTACTCAGACATGTAAAATCTTATTTATTTTCCATGCATTAAAATTTGCAAATATGTGGAGGTATGGTGGGGTTACAACTGCGCCGCTGCCATTTTGAATTTTACGAGAAAATTTGGGTCACACTAAACTTAACTTCCCTTGAGCCTTCATCGATTCCACAAATCTGGTTAAAACACCTGACTAATTTATGCCATCGAATTTTGTTACACGATTGATTATTTTTCTTTGATTGTCAACTTTGTCTTTTTATCACATTTAGGTCTCTTACATGCAAAAATTTGAGCAAGATTCGATAAAAACAATGCTAATTTTGACACTCGCTAAAACCAATTCAGAACAAGGAGATCTCCAAATTAAAATGCCATATGAGAAATTGTAGTCTATATTAACATTCCACAAACTTTCATTTGCGTCCGTTACTTTGCTTCCGAGTTATGAGCAAAAGTTGTCTAGAAAATTTTAATATGATCAAATTGTGTCTTTTGTTACGTCATTTTTACGGTCAGTATGCTAAACATTCTATATTCTGACGTCATTTTCGGAGTTATTACGTCCTAAAAATTATAAAGTGACGTCACAATATGTGTATATTTTTCTGATCTTTCCAATGATATCAAACTCAATAATTTCCGTAAAACGGTTAATCTTTTATTAAACAGTTGCCAGAACTTTTGAAATGCTCCTTGTATCTTTCCTATCGCAATAGAGAGCTAGTTACATGAATGACCTATGTTGCGACATCCCGCAAAAAAAATTTTTAAAAGAGTCAGGTCTGCTCAAATGGTATTACTGTAAAAAGATATAGTCACGTGTTATATTATTCTCCAAGGTCGTGCTGCTTTGAGATTTTGTATGTATTTGAGTTTAGAAACAACAGGAGGGTAAAGAGACTTAAGATGTCATCATTCATTAATTTATATTTATGTGTTTCATATATCTTCTTTCAAAATTCTTGAAAGTCAATGGCACCGGTATTGAGTTCTTAATTTTAATAAATGAATACAAACCAATGCATGCATGTAGGTACAACTGAAATTAGAATACCAGAAACACATTAGACCTTTAAGGCATTTTTCCAATGGGGTTCTTAAAAATACAGATGGAAAAAATTAAACTAAATGCAAATGAGTTGAAAAACTTTTATACCTCATGTAACTTATACAAAAATATCAAATAATATCCTTAAACTGTGTAACAGTAAGGCCCATCATACTGTACATTTAATTTCCTTATAGCGTTTTATGATTGATAAGGGAACTAATATTAATATTCACACTATCATTTCAAATGCAATCCTACAAAATTTGGCTATATGAAATCTACTGCTTTTTTTGATGTTTCATAGATATCACCAGATGTACTTCAAGTTTCGATTTAAATGCCTTCTCCCCCATTTAATTCGATGAAAGTCAAAAAAGCACAGTGCGACTTTCTTTTCGGATTTGGGTTATCATTAGGAATGTAACATATTGTAAAAGCATTGCCCTTCTGCGAAACATTCCTAATTCTAATAGCACATCACTTGATCCATTTTTTGAACCCTGTCCTATTTGACTTTGATCTGAGACATTAAACTTCGGAAATGGAGGAAATCGAGAAGCCGTTATTGATATTTCTCAGTCAAATTTAGAAACTGCTCAAACATTATGTAAATTACATATCCTCGTCGCTAAAGCAATGTTACTAGTAATAACAAACACTTAATTTTTCCTTGGATGCAAATTTACCACTCAATCATAAAAGAAGTTATATAAACAAAGATTCAAATTAGCAGAGTTAATATGATATATTGGGAATTTGAAGTATAAACATTTGACCATTGAGCGATCGAGTTAAAGATTAAAGTATAAACAAACTGCTCGGTTCTGTTTGCACTTGCATTTCAAATGTGTTTAAATAGTATCAACAGAGAATGACTTGATAGTATACTTCGGATATAATAAGCTTTGAAAAGGGGCCCATCATCTACTGCTTAAATGCATATGTCATTTCATACAACTATTAAGTATTTAAGTATTTAACCACCAAGCCCTCAAACAAGGTACAGGGTAATATACGTACAATTCGTTATTTTCCTTATTTACAAATAGTTAAGTGTAATAAGAAAAGATTACGACACAGTTTTTGTTCTATATAAAAGAAGATAAAATCTCTCACTCAGCATTTAAATAAAATCTGGAATACTAGTAGCCTAAATCAAATGAACGTTGTATAAAGCGGAAGTGGAAACGATTCAGCGGAAAAAAACAGAAAAGATTGCATCTCTAAATACTTAAATATATGATGAAAAATTATTTTCACTAACAAAAAACAGTAAGTTATAACAAAAGGTTGATGTATCTTTTCTAATCAATTGTTAGCTATTAAAATTGAAAGACATGATTGATTATTGGATTATTTTTCTACAACATTTTCGAGAATTTTTATCTCATATTGAGAGGTCACCATACACCGTTGAAGAGGTTCATATTTTGATCTTTACTGGGCACGTACTGCAATTGCACAGTGTACACTTATTTCATGACAACAAGTAGAACAGTCTAACTGTTGTCCCGAGATAATGTGGTAGACATGAGAAACTATTACTCAAGTCTTCCACATTACGAGGGACAACTTTTACAGTTTGACCTTTTCCCGAGTTGTGGGGAAAAATGTTTTAATGCCTAAGCTAGTATATTTTTTCTGAAAGAAATGATATAAAAACACAAAGTTTGCATGGATATCACTTGTGTTATCATCCATTCCCTAATAAATATTGATGTATACATGTGTAAAAAATAATAAAGTTTGAAGTTTTGCTTATGACTACTAATTCAGTATTATATAGCTGTGAAATATGGAAAAATAATGATAACGTCATAATTGATCAGTTCAGTCATGCAACAGTTCATTCTGTGACCGGGTTAACAGTTTTGACTGTTCCTTGGTATGCGATCAACATTAAAATGAATAAAGTGATCCAATATTTCCAACAGAATCAAAACATAACCAAATCGAAGAATGATTTAAATTCATTTTATTATTTATTCATTAATGTCAAGTCAAACAGATAATGATAAGAACCAAACCAATTTTAGAAAATAATTAATTATGAATTTCCAAGAATAATTTTGAAAATATTTTTGGGGGTTGGGGTTGATTTTTTAAAACATTGATATTTTTATAACTGAGCGATAGCATAATTCGAAGACTGCGATTAATGAAAAATTAGTTTATTACGTACATAGAGATATGATGCAGGTATGTGTTTTATAGTTTGAATTTATAAAAAGAAAATAAAAATCTTGCTGTTCATTCATAGAAAATTAATATTTATACATCTTTGATTGGTCAATCAATTGATAATTAAAATTTAAAAGAATCTAAGCTGCATCCTAACTTGTGAAATACAGGTATAAGTGTAGAAAATGTTTTGATATGATCCCAATTTTTGTAATGCTTTTTGTAAAAATGAAATGGCTGTACATACTCATCGAAATTTTTTATAACAACTAAGTGAGAGTGTTGTTTTACCTGATTATTCCCCAAAATCGTCATTATATATTTTGTAGAGTGGAAAATGAAAATTATGTGCCTCGATAAAAAAGAAATCTATTAATCAAAATTTAATCATCTTTAATATATTGCATATTATTGTATTTTTAAAGCAGATTTTAAACAGAATTATTGTAGTTTATTTTATAAGACAGAATAAAAAGAAAACTATTTTCTTCTTATAAAATTACACAACCGTTGAAGAAAATCTAGAATATTCCATATCAGATGATAGAAACCATAGTAGACGGGCTGCAGCGTAAAGGAGTACAGAATGTAACTGAAAGCATAAAATGTGCTTCACTCACAAAAAAAAAATAATTTACAAAAATAAGGTATTATAAAAAGAAATTAATAAATCAAATTGAAGGAAAACAATAAGGTGAATTCACCATGCATCGGATACCCTTGTACTTCAACAAGTTCTAGCTATATCGCTTCCGATGGAAAATTATCAAAATGGAGCTTAAACTTAGTTTGTGATTAAAATATAAATTTGGGACACAATTATCTGCCTTTTATTGAGAAAATGTCACCAAAAATCGATTTTTTCTAAATAACTCAAACTTCACCATGGATAGGACAT